TAAGAAATAACAAGTGTATATCTATCTATTTTGAAATAAAAGAAAGAGTTAGTGTTCTTTTAAGATCAGTTATACCTGTTTACTGTATCCTGCTTTGGTTTGAAGGGAACCAGTAGAGTGTTTCTTCTTGATGAAAGTTTTCTTTGAGTATTTCCTTTGGTGTTTCTTGGAGTTTTTGTGTTTTTACCAAAAAAGAAAATTTTTAGGAATTTTAGGATTTGCGGGAAAGAGTTTTTTTTATATTATTTTTTTTTTATTTCTTTAAAAATAAATTTAACATATTGTTATAATATTAAAACTATTTAAAATATTCTTATTACAAAATACCCTCATTCTTATATATTCTTTTTTATAATTAATATCTGAGTAAATACTATTTAATAAATTTAATGATTTTTAAAATAATATCTGGAGTATTATAATCAATAGTATATGATATATAAAATAGTATTAATTGAAACTTTATATAATAAATTTGATTATTATTAATACTTTCTATACTTTAATTTGATATTGATACTTTAAAGTATCATATCAAAAATTTTTGATAATTATTAATACTGATATTAAAAAAATTTTTTAATATTAATTTTACAAAATATCATATTAAATAGTATCAATTAAAACTTTAAATAATACATATCAATATATATTCACTTATAAAAAACAACAATCTATATTATTAAAAAGTAAGTGAAAAACTTTTATTATTATTATTAACTTTGTTTATAAGAACAAATAGAATCTTTGATTTTTATATATCATCTTATTAAGTAATTCAATTATTAGTATAATACTTGCAAAAATATATATTGTATTGGCTATTATTTATAATTTTAATTATCTATAGATATAACTTCTTAAAATTTCAAATAATAATAGTTATATAATAACTTTTTAAATATATTTAGTCTAATTATTAATAAGTAAACAATATTAAATTTAATAATAGTAATTATATTAATCTTTTGAAGAAAATAAATTATCTTTTTTTTTTTAAGAAATCATAGAAGAAAAAATCTTGAAAAAGTATATTTCTTATAAAAGATTGTTACTTATTAATATAATTTTTAGAAAAAAAAATCAACTAGTCTGGAAGTTAATAATATAAAGATAGAAATTATTAAAGAAAAAAGAAATCTAGAAATAAAAACTTTAAAAAGAAGAGAAAACCTAACTTTGGCAGAAAAAATAGGAAAAAAAAAATAAAATAAAATAAATATTTAAAATAGAACTTGTAAAAAAAGTAAGATAGAAAAAGTAAAAGAAAGTAAAAGATTATAAAAAAAAAAAAATAAAAAAAAAAAATAAAAAAAAAGATAAACAACTTAAAAATTTCCTAAAAAAAAAATTTTCAAGAAAATGTAGAGTTTTTTTTTTTTCTTTTCAAATAATTTTTTTTAACTGAATTTAGTTTAAATTTTTATCTTTTCTTGATTTTTCAAAACTGTATTATTAAAATATGTAATAACTTCTTGAAATAATGTAAATTATAATTATTTTTCTTGAACAAGCAAACTTTTCTTTTTCTATTTCTAAAAATCTTAATTATGTTAAGCTAAGATTGGTAGACTTGCACAGATAACTCAAGTATTTCTTTAATCAATGGTTTTCCATATTTAGCAAGTATGTGACACTAGTATAAAATAATTGCAATTCCCTGATCTGATTAAACATACTGTATATTTAAAACAATTTCTAGCAAAGAACGCCTATCTATTAAACAAGCTATAACACTTTTTCATAGATTAAGTTCGACCGTTTAGGTAATGATAAATTTGAAATGCTTATGTTAACTCTTAAATGACGTAAACGTAGAGAACAATGATGAAAAAATAAAAAATAGAAAATAAATTTTTATTGAGAAAAAGATAATAATTCGGTATATTTATGAATAATTCTTCGATGATCTCATGATTTGTAGGGTAGAAATCAAATTTCCAGTGCACAAATATCTAGAAAAAAGAAAAAAAGAAAAAGAGACAGTTATACAACATAAAGCTGACATCGATGTTGAAATAAAAGTATTAATGATAGGAACAAAACAATAATGCATCCTAGGCATAACAGAACTACATAATAATATATTTAATCATCCTTCATATCCCTAGAAAATAAATTACATTAAATTTATAAGATTAGAGAAATATAATAATCTTATATGAAAACGAATGCTTTCTTATTCTAAAATAATAATAATAATAATAATAAAACATGTCAATATATACAGTAATAATTTTCTTTACGTAAACCGTATCACGTGACAAGATAAAGCCCCCCAATATGTTTCGTGAAACAGTATTGTTTTACAAATACGTATTCAGCCCCACACCAAGTTTTTATTTCTTTTTGGCTTTAGAAGCTTTTAATAATTAGGGTTTACGTGCAAAAATTTCACTTTATATCATTATTAGAAATTAATTTATAATGGCGACAAGAGTGTATATTGGTCGTCTGGCAAGAGATGCTCGTGAACGTGATGTTGAAAAACTCTTTCGTAATTATGGTACCATCAGAGAGATAAAATTGATGAACGGTTTCGGCTTTGTTGAATTTAGAGACCACCGTGATGCTGATGATGTTGTCTATGCTTTTAACGGAAAAAGCTTTATGGGTGAAAAGTATATTTTCTTTTTCTTATTTTTTTAATAATAATGGTTAAGAAAAAAAAAACTGGTTGACTCGCTATTTCTACGTTTGCTAAGTCGTTTAATTTACAAATCGTATATATGAATTTTATATAATCAAAAATTTTATTTTATACAACACATCTAAATTTTAAACATAATTATTTTATTTAGACTTATTGTTGAATACGCTAGAGGAGAACGTAGGCGTCGTGACCGTGATGAACGTAGAGACAGAGACAGAGACGATCGAAGAGATAGAGATAGAGACAGAGATGATCGTCGCCGTGATGACCGTGACCGTGATCGTGGCAGGCATGTTTATTTGATTTTAATTTACTAATTTGTTAACCAAGTTGTGTGCAATTGGTTAGTTTTCTCTGATTATTCTTTGAAAATTTTTATAGTCGATTTGCTCCACCTCAACGAAATCCTCAATACCGTTTAATTGTTGAGAATTTGTCGTCAAGCTGTAGCTGGCAGGTATGCACAATTGTTACAATTATTCATGCATTCGCCGCCTGCAGCTCTCGCTACTTGGCTGGCCTACTGGTCCCACTCTTTATTGCCCCCTGGTTTCTACAAGATTGATGTTGTATTGGCTTTGGTTGTAGCTCTCCTTTACCTATGGCTACTTATGGTTGCTTGATGTGGCTTTTGGATTCTATCTACCATTTCGTTTAATTGGCTTCTCTTTTGAAAGTCTGTTTTGGATTATGTAATCTTTGCGTTCCCAAAAAAAGACCAAATGGGACCAAAACTTTCGAAACTAATTGGGAACAAAGGGAAATCTTCAACATTGAATTTCATGATTTGTTATGCTCTCCGAGTCTTTCGGCAGTTAGAAAAAATGAGATCAAATATTAGACTTCATGTTATGTTTCTTATGCCTGGAAGGAAGAGAGTAGCCAACATTTGAATTTAGAGGGGCCACCCATTTTATCTTTTGATTGCCTCCCGAATCTGGCTTCTTTGGGCCTATTATTTGGGATACCATGTACTTCCTTTCTTGGGTTCTACCGGCTCTTGTTCCTTCCATTGGCATTGGTACTTGGTATAAGGAAATTACAAGAGCCTTAGAGGATCTTTGAAGCACATCGTCCGTTTACCATAACTCAATCAAAACCTCCTTCCCCTACTCCTCTACCATTCTTTAAAAAGGATTTGAAGGACCTGATGCGAAAAGCAGGTGAAGTCACTTTTGCCGATTGTCATAAAGACCGCGATGGGGAAGGGTATGTATTGATTTAAATTTATTGAGATTTGTTTATTTATCCATTTAACTACATGGTGATTAAATTTATGTTCCTAGTGTGGTTGAGTTTTCCTCATATGAAGACATGAAGAACGCTATCAGAAAACTTGACGATGCCGAGTTGAAAGGGAAACGTATTATTCTTCGTGAAGCACCGGTAAATATAGTAATTAGCTTTATTATTTATATAATCAGATTAATTTTTGTTCTGGGTCAAGCAAATTTATTATTATTTTATTTTGTAGGATAATGACACTGATCGTGATCGTGACCGTGATCGTCGTCGTCGTTCCAGATCTCGTTCTCGATCTCCTCGTCGTAGTTCTCGTCGTTCGCCTTCCCGATCTCCTCGTCGCAGTTCTCGTCGAACTCGCTCACGATCCAAGACTCCCCCTGCTAACGGTAAAGATCATAGCTCTCGCACACCCTCTCCTCGTCATGAAGATTCTCATAGTCCAAAAAGAAGCCGAACTAGAAGTGCAGAGCGCGGTCGTGATGATGACAAGTAAGCATTCGTTTTCATATAAAATTATTATATTTCTCTAATATTATAATTTAATGTCTAACTTATTTTCTAGGGATATGAAGGATGATTAAATATATTACTGTGTAGCTCCGTTATGCCTAGGATGCATTATTGTTTTGTTCCTATTATTAATACTTATTATTTCAACATCGAGGTCAGCTTTATGTTGTATAACTGTCTCTTTTTCTTTTTCTTATTTTTCTAGATATTTGTGCACTGGAAATTTGATTTCTACTCTACAAATCATGAGATCATCGAAGAATTATTCATAAATATACCGAATTATTATCTTTTTCTCAATAAAAGTTTATTTTCTATTTTATTTTACAATATTGTTCTCTACGTTTACTGTCATTTAAGAATTTACATAAGCATTTCAAATTTTTCATGCGAAATGAATACTAAACGGTCGAACTTAATCTATGAAAGTGTTATGACTTGTTTTATAGATAGGTGTTCTTTGCTAGAAATATGTTTAATCAGATCAGGCATTGTTTTGAAACCAATAACTTGATGTATGCATTGGACAATATATTATTAAAAATATTTAATTAATTTTTACCTATTGTTAACTTAGCAGTAAATAAAAGATTTTATAAATAAGAAAAAATAAACAAAAAGAATATTCAAGTATTTTAACTTGACTTGAATTTGCCTTAAAGTATTTGAATATATAATAATTTTTAATAATTTTTTAATTATAACGGGAAAAATTTATATTTATAAAAAATTTTTTTATAAACATTACCGAAGCTTACTTTATTGAGTTTATTAGAAAGTATATATTTGAGATTACAAAGCAATTTTGTTTTTTATTTTTAAAGTAGGACAACCTTGTTACTTTATTAAGTTGTAAATTTGGAAAATTATTACATAAAGAAAGTAACAACATCTCTCATAACCATTGGTTACTGAGTTTAATGCTAGCTTGCCTACTTATTAACTATTCAAGCAACAGAGAAAAAGCTTTATACTAAATCTTGAATAGTGTCTAGCAAAAGGCTAGAATAATTTGTGTTGTATCTAGATCAGAGGTAATGGAAATATGAGAAGGAATTAGATATCTCTATGTATAAAGGTGCTGCAGCCACTTTATACAGGTTGGCCTCCAAGTTACAAAGAGAATTTAATATATCTATTTTCCAAGTGTGGTGGAAGTGTCTAATGGATAGAGTGTATTGGATATTCTTATAGATATTTGTATCTATTCTAGCACATGGATTTACATTGTTGAGAAATAATCAAAGAACTTGCATTGTTATTACTAGCTCTACTTGTGAAGGTAACTAGAATCCCTGGTTATCACATATCACTCTACTAGATTTCTCAACCATTAGTATAACATCTGCAGGCCTCTCGGTTTCTATCTGTAGGCTTTTTGGTTCTTTAAATAGGCTTTTCAATTTTTTTAAATGGATTTTTCAATTTCTATAAATAGTTCTGCTTCTATTTGTAGGCCTTTTAATTTCTATCCAAAGGTTTTTTAATTTCTATCCAAAGACCTTTTAGTTTCTGTCCAAAAGTATTTTAGTTTTTACTAGTAAGTCTCGTGGTTTCTGCATTGATATTGGTTGTCATCTTACCTGAATACTATAGGATGCAACTTTTTAAGAATTCCAGTAATAATAGTTGTGCCTCAGTTTTTTAAATGTATCTAGTGTAGCTATCAGTAAGTAAATAATGTCAATTATAGTAGTAATAATTATGTCGATCTTTTGAAAAAGATAAACCATCCATGCTTTTCTTGAGAGCCATAAAAAAATTTTTTTAAAGCTCATATCTTGAAAAAATTTATTACTTCTTGATATGATCCTTGAGAAAAAGAAGTCAACTGGTTAGAGAATTGATATTATGAAATAGAGTTTTTAAAAAAGAGAGAAGCCTAAAAAAGAAAACCTTTAGAAAAAAGGAAAAAAGGTAAAGGGAGATATAAAGTATAAAAAAAGTATATAGAAAAGAGAGGGAAAAAATAAGGAAGGGTAATAAAAGAGCATAGGGAAAGGATAGTAAAAGAAAAAAAAAGAAAAAGTAAAAAAAAAAATAAACAACTCAAAAGTTTTTTAAAAAGGAAATTTTCAAGTACAGAAAGGAAAAGTGGAAAAGAGTTTTTTATATACAAAACAATTTTGTTATTTATTTGAGTAATTATTTTTAAAAATAAAAATGGTAGATATATTTTTTGGGATCCTATTTCCAAATAATATTTATAGCACAATTATAGTGTCCAAAAAATCTTTAAAATAATTATTTATTTTTCTTATATATTAAATCTATTTAAATCTTTATAATAAAATTATTTGATATTTTTTTTTAGAAATCTATTTTATATAACTTGTCTTTTAATTAAAAAACCAATATATTTAAGCTCTATTAGTATATTTTTCTGTTTGATTAAATATAAATTAAGTTTTATTTGGGTTTTTGTATAATATAAGAAAAAAACAAATATGAATAGAAAGTAATACTATCTTTGACAAATAAAATTCTACTTGATTTAATAGATTTATTAAAAATTATTCTTTACTATTATCTATAACTAGATATTATTATTTAATTTTTGATATTTCAATAAGAATTAGGAATGTTTAAAAAACTTATGATTGCTAATTAGAATATAACCATTTTTCTATTTAAGATATTAATTTTCTGATATCTTTTTTTTTTTAGTAGATAAACATTATTTCTTTATTTGATTTGTATGTCAAGGTATATATCGTGAAAGAAACAACATCTCTCATACGCTATTGCGATAAGTTAAATGCTAGTTTGCCTACAGCAACTACTTGACTAATATTGAAAAGAAAATTTAAAACAATATATCTTGCCAAGCAGCACCAAGCGGC